CAAAGCAGCAGCTGGTGCCATCAGGTCAAGCATTTTTGTTAGGATCTGCAAACTTCTCTATGATTCACAAATCACAATAGACTTATTCTGTTTGTTTGTGGGTGGTGTAAAATGCTATGTAATCTCTGTTGTCTCCTTGTCAGAGTCCTTTTAGTGTCTGTCACATATTGTTGGTCAATACATGCATGTGTTGCTTCATTTTGGGTTGGGTTCATCTTTGCCTCCCTCTTTTTCTTTTTCTGTTTTGGGGATGGGAGATGATTTTGATTTTTTGAAAGCAAGGTTCAGACAAATGCATCTTTGCAACTTTCAACTAACACATAATGAATGCACCGGAAATCTACTCAATCATCCAGGTGCATTCATCATGTGTTAGTTGAAAGTTGCAATGATGCATTTGTCTGAACCTTGCTTTCAAAGTATCCAAAATTTCCTGAAGGTAATTTTTCCATTAGTTGATTACGTTATATTGGAAAGGAAATATTTTCGTGGCTTGACACATACCTTAGTTGCAATAACTCCACTTGTTCAGGAAAAAGGTTTCAAGTTCAAATGTATCTCCCTCAAATTATTAACTATTAAAAGAAGGTGCAAATATTTGAATCTGCTTCAAAAATTTGTATTTAGATGATGCCTGATTCAACTTTACTTTAACAACCATTATAGATTATAGTGTCATTTTTGTTAGTCTGTTTGCTTCTATCCTACTTTGCACAGTGTTCTATGTTGTCTTTAGAGGATTCACATGATGACGAGACAAGATCTTGTGGCATATGTCAAACAAGTTAAAAAATTTTGCTTGGTGGTTTCAATTTGCTTCTGATCTATCTTTTGTAAATTCATATTCTTGTGATGGTATTACTGAAAAGGATTAAATGTTCCTTGTGGGCATATTCGTAATTTGAGATTGTGGCTGGTTAAATGAGAGGAAGGTGTTTCCTGGATTTCTGTTTGGTTAAGGATAGAATTGCATGTTACTATACCACTATTTGTTGATTATAACTTTTAATATTGTTCCTTAGTGGTGCTTGTTTGTCAGAAACTCTTTGCTTGAAATTAGTGATTAGTTAAATTTCAAAATTATTCTTTCTGCATTGTGATAATTATTGGATTTTGAAGTGCAGATGCTATCTAAAGTTGTACGATTCTCCTTTGAACTCACCACCTGAAGAAGAGGACAACACATCAAAGACTCCTTCTCAGAAAAAGAAAATGAAGAAGCAGAGAAAGGCAGAACGAGCTAAGAAAGTATACCAGCTTGTTTTGATGATTTTTGGATAACATTCTCTTTGATGATTTCATCTAATGCTGTGTGTTATTTTAGGAGGCAGAGGAGAAAAATGAAGAATCAAGTGCTAGTGGCATCTCTAAGTCTGGGAAACGACACCTTAAACCTGTAGATCCAGATCCTTATGGAGAAAAATTATTGCAGGTTATCTATTATTATTATTATTAGTTTTGTTATTTTTTAGATTCCTGGTTGAAGTCCTCTTGTGCTGTAAGAATGTGTTTCTCTAATGCCTATTAATCTAAGGTTCTGTTTAATGTGGTTTTTTTAGACTGAGGATCCCTTGTCAGAAGCATCAAAGTACTTGAAGTTGCTTCAAAAGAACTCACCTGATTCTTTGGAGACACACTTGCTTTCTTTTGAAGTAAATATGAGAAAGCAGAGGATTTTGCTTGCTTTTAAGGTATTCATGTTTTCCAAGAATTGAAATGAGTCTGCTTGTTCTTTTTGTTGTGCTTGACCAACTAGAACTAATATGTAATGTGATCAAGTGGATTTGGATCAGTGTAATTTGTGAGGCCCCTTCTCTCTTTTTCCCTTGCTGCCTCAATATCTGCTCGGAGTAATGAAACTGTATCATTAAACCAAACATCTTTGTCTTATTATTTGATTATTCAGGTTGTGTTTCGTCACTTGAATTTAGAAGAAAGGATTTGAATTTGAAATTTAGTATAAATTTGTGTGACAAAATACATGTAAAGTTGACTCCCATGGTTATTTTCAAAATCATGGATTTGTTGGATCCCTATTTGGTGGTTAATTTGAAATACCTATAGGTATGTACAAATTTGAAATTCATCTTCCTAAGTTGAATTTTAACTAATTCCGTAATATAGTTTGTGCATTTGTTCTCACAATTTATATAGCAAACTAAATCCAAGTTCACTCTCTCAAATTCATCTCCCAAACATAGTGTCAATGATTTTGTGTGAATCAGATAGTTTGTGTAAGTGTAACATGTCTTTGAGTTAAAGAACAATGGTTTTGCTCAATTATACTTAATATTATTTCATGATCTCATTTTAGTATGTGTTGTTTTTATTTCTTTTTCCTGAAGGCTGTAAAGCAACTGCTAAGGTTGGATGCTGAGAATCCTGATTCCCATCGCTGCTTGGTATGTAACATCAGCCTTGCCATATTGTGCACTGTCATGTACAAGTACATTCTTTTTTTTTTTACTTAGATAGGAAGATCATCTAATCTTTACACTGCTCATTTTATTTTAATGCAATGCAGATTAAATTTTTCCATAAAGTGAGCTCAATGGCTGCTCCAGAGACTGATGCAGAAAAACTTGTTTGGAGTGTCTTAGAAGCTGAGCGTCCATACATCAGGTTCTCTTTAAAATGGCTTTATGATAGTTATTCGCCCAGCTGGAATTTCATTGTATCAGTGTTATTATTATTTTGATCCCTGATGCATTAAATCCTTTTATTTTCTCTTTCTGCAGTCAATTGCAGGAGAAAACACTTAGTGAGGCAAACAAAATTTTCCTTGGTAAACATGAAGGTATTATTGAGCTTATTTAACATGATGCATTTTAAGCTCCTTGAGTTAGGTTGTACAGTCATGTGATGTTCACTTTTCTGTTCTGCAGATTCTTTGATGCATAGAGTGGCAGTTGCAGAAATGTTATATACCTTGGATCCCACCAAGAAACTTGAGGCTGTTAAGTTAATTGAAGATTCATCCAATAAAGTTGTGCCAACGTAATGGTTTTAGTATTAAATTTTCTGCTGTTTGCTATTGATTCCATGCACCACAACTTGCTCGAGATTAATTGTTTCTTTCTGTCTTACATGTCCAGGAATGGAGCACTTGGACCAGTAATGGAGTGGAAACTCAAGGACTGTATTGCAGTCTATAAGCTCTTGGACAAGGTTCTTATTGATCAAGATGTTGCTCTCAGTAAGTACAATTCTCCATGTATATTGAAACTGACTAGAAATTTTTGACTTCGACTCCATTAACAACTTCTGAAATTTATTACTGTTGTTAGTTTCACAAGTGTTTTAGTAAGATTTTTAATGGTATTGAAATTTCAATATACTGTTACTAAATATTGTAAGATTAGCTGCCTAAAATTAATACATTAAATTATGATTTTTAAAACTTACGGTTTCATCATTCAGTGAATTTTTTTTGGTGAGATTTATCTCTCAAGCTCTGATGGCTTTTTGGTTTTTGTTATTTTGATGTTTAATCTTTAAAAGGTGGGTGCTGTGATTACTATTGGCATCTTAAGGAAAGGTGGATTTTCATGATCAAATTTTCTCACTTTCTTATCAATGATTATTCACTTCTTGTTGCAAGCTATGTGACAAAATTATGCAAGAAATGGTTGCTCATCTTTGATTAAACCCTCTTTATAGATGTCTTATAGGACAATTGAAGTAGAGTTCTGTAGACAATTTGAAGTAGTAGTCTTTGCTTAGATGTTTGTTATTTCTCTTTTCTGTTCTCAATTACTGCCTCATGTTTTTGTTCTGTATCCTGTAGCACTTACCCCTTGCTGGGGTTGTCAAACCCTGAAGAGTATAGAAAATTGTTCTACAAATACGGGAATTTGCCTGTTTGGTTCTATTTGATCATGTTCTGCTCTTGGGGAAAGGCTAATTGTCTAACGTAAAGATTGCTCAGGCTGAACGTAGTAACATTTTTGGTCTGATAATTTTCTTATTCTGCAGGATGGAAAGTGCGTTGCGCAGGGTACTTCCCCTACTCTACCTACTTTGAAGGTAGTCGTAGCTCTGCTGTGAACAACTTATTGAACAATCAGGATATCACAACGTCTGTGAATGGCGGTACAAGCCATCCTGAAATCAAGCAAAGTGCAAATTCATTTATACCAAATGGAAAGCTGGAGGCATTTAAAAACCTTGCCATTTGAAGATGATGCCTACTTACGTGCATCAACTGACATCAGAGCTCAATGTGTTTGAATGATGGATGGCATTAATTGTACGCCCACAAAGGGTGCTTTGCAGCCTGGGATTGGGAAAGAGGAGTATCTTGAAGTTGTGCAAGCCATGGCAATCCTTTCTTCTTTTGCTTTGAGATCAAAATTTTCTCTGCCTTTCCTGATTGCGAAATGCATTCCTTTGCTAATGTGTATAATTTATTTGCATTTATGATTTTAGGGTTGAATGAACTAATATATTTTTTGCTTTTAAATTGCTCACTATTTGGTTGAGATCCGTACAGATGTCTGGCTGGCTCCATGGCTACAGAAAAATATTGGATACTGGTTCTGAGGTCAGCATAGAAAAGATACTGTGTTAGAGCAAATCATCGGAGCATGTTGTACTTGGACCTCATTTCATTTACCTCATCTTGTATAAACCTTCTTCATAATGTGGAAAATTTTGCTACGGAGTTGGAAAGAGTGGCTATAAGAAATTTCCAGTTTTGTTGCTTCATCTCTTATGATTTGTTCTGATTATTTTTTTTATTCTACTTATAGTGAATTGCAATTAAATCATACATATTTAATTGAATTTTTAATCTCATTTTTATGATTAGCCGGAGATTAAAAACTACGAGAAAGCATGAATTTTATCCGTTTATCATAAGCTTGATCAATATCAAAGATTGAAGATTTAAGATCAAGGTAATGAATGGGGAAAGGGTTTCATTTGTCCTATCATATTGTATACGATGAAAGAAGGCCTTTTCCTTGTAAAATGCAGCACAGCAGAGATACAGATATTCCAACTTCAGCTGTAAACATTCCGAATAAATATAAGACGTTCATGTTTACTTACAACATGGTAAAGAGCAGATGAAATAGTCAAGAACAGTAGCAAATCAAAAACAATTCCATGGCAAGAAGAGAGCTATATAAACAGTGCAGGGAAATAAAGTACGAGTGGTAGGTTGAAGAAACAATCTCGTATATAGTATAGCACTTCAAATTTTTTGATAACAGAATAACTCCATATTTGTTTCTGGTGCATGGGGCACAGTCACTTTGCTGAGTGTGAGGCTTGACTCAGAGCTTAAATGCAACAATCTGTAAGAACAAAGTAAAAGCTCTTCAAGGATGTTGCATATCAAGTTAACGATCACAAAGTTTGATACAGCAGCCAGGAGATGAGCACCAAAACATTAAGACATTGTCTTTGTCCCATCTTCAACTGATTCCTTTGTCCATCCTTTTCCTATGATGTTAATTTGAGTCTCTAGCCAATGGTGAAGCACTGCTGCTGCTCTCACCAACCTCACTTTTACAAAGGGGGCAAGATGCATTAATTTTCAACCATTTATCTACACACTCGACATGGAAGACATGGATGCACGGCAGCTCCCTCAGCTCGTCATTGTCTGCATATTTTGCCAAGCAAATACAACAAGACTGCAACACCTCAAGTTAGTAAGCTGTATTATTAATCCAAGGACAGGCACAAATCAAATCTCTCATGACCACCTCACAGTCAATGTACCATATCTATTTTATGTCTCCAGCAAACAATGTGAATAAAGAGAAATAAACATCTCAAGTCACTAAGCCATACAGCTTTAGGACACTGCTAATAAGAAGTCAAGCAGAGCAAAGTGAAAGCTGAATTCAGCAAGTAAAATTAAGAGACAACTCAGCTAGATGCTCCCAAAATTTGTCATTCTGTATATGATTAAATCTGTTCAGTTTCATCTAGTTTGACCCTAGCAAGTACTCTGAATGCAGTTTTAAGTGGTTGCAGTTTACATGTGAAGACCAACAAAGTGTTAGCAAATTCTTAGCATTAAACTTACTGCATCTTCTCCTGATATCACACGTTCCTTTGCCGTCCCTGCTGCCAGGACTCCACCTTCACCCTGATCATTAACATTTCCAGTTTTCTTTGATTTAAACTTGTAGGTCGGCAAAGCATTTATAGATTCCATGGTGGCTCCTCTAGTTTGTGAAAAATCCTCCCGATAACCAAGGACAGAAATTATGCAAGGCAAGCAGCAACAAATTGTTGCACATAGTATGAATGGCATGGCATATCCGATACAGCTAAAAGTAAGGAACACTATACATAACCTGCAATGAAACCAGTAAATGGTGCGCAAACCATAATGAAAATTTGAATCTCAGGCAAAACAGAGTAATAGATATATTTTTTTTTGGCCTAAAAGCAATAGATATCTTTGGCCCCCATTGTACCTGTACAATTTAGGAGCATCAGAAGGAGATGTGTGACCTCCAAATATCCACACATTGCCCACGACAAACCACACAGCAAAAAAACAATCTAGGGCCATCTTGAAATGGTCTACTAATCCATTGAGCCTGCATATTTGATGCCAATTCTTCACTCAGTCACAACATCTAGATGATAATATTCAGAATCTATGGAGACTTCCAAGAAAATATAATAGCAGCTTATATTTTATTATGTTTTATATGCATACATATTTTTTAACTACATTTCCTTTTTAAGGCCATAAAAGCTCCTAAATTTTTTACATGCTCATTTTTTTCAAGGTACAGTATTTTATATTCTGTTGAATTTGTGCAAAGTTTTGGCTTCACTTTTATTTATCTCCTTTTGAGCAAGAATTTAAAGTTAACCTCAAATACCAATTGAAGCCCAAAAGTGGGAATGTTTCACTCCTATTTCATCAAATTTTCAAAAAATTCAATGACAAGAATGTTGGTTCTTGAAATAATAGTGAATGAGCAGATAAAAGATTACAGATATCTTAAATGTGTGCTGGTCAAATAGATTATCAGGGTCCTTTTGCCTACTCCAGCTTACATTTCGATGATCACATTAATCCAAAACATATCAGCTGTTTATTACACAAGAACGGCAATTTAGAGGATTTCCAATCTATATTGCAATCTATTACTAATCAAAAAGAATTCTTTTAAGCAAATTAGACCTGATTGCCATTCTTGCTACCTTTTTTTTTTTCTATTTTAATTTTATTATGTACAAAATGAAAAAAAAAAAAGCAGTTCGGATACCAAAAGAAAAAATCATTTCTAAATAGCTTCTAAATAGTTCAAAAATTGACTTTCTTAGATAACAAAAAGCATAATTCTCTTTGTGTAACTAAATGAAGCCTCAGATGAATCTAAAATAATGTGCAGCATATATATCCATCTCCACTGCCAATGACACTGCAGTAGCAATTGCCACTACTGCTTCCCATTTCCAGCACCATTACTCACCAACACTATCACAAAAACAAAGATTCTAGCGGTAACACCACTGAATTTTGCGGTATTGGCATAAATATGCAACTGAATCATCAACATCTTCTTCAATATTTTCCACCTCTATCACTGCCACCATAAACATCATCATTTCGTTCTTCTACCATGGCCATCACACCAGTTTTGCTCTTGGCAATTCCCCCTTAGCTAGAAAATCTTAAAGAAGGATAATGAAGAAATTTGAAGACCTTTCATCTCAAAGCCTTAACGCTCTCAATTTCTTACAAGACATTCAGAATCTATTTGGAAAACTTAACAGAAATAAACATTATTTGACACATTGATGAAAACTCCCACCAGGGAAAAAAAAAAAAAAGGTGAACGCTCATTCTGCTAACTGCAAATAAATCAATGTTTCAAGTGCAGGCAGTCATCAAGTCAAAGTCTAGCATACCTAAACTCAAAACACATCAATTGTTTTCAAACTTTAAATAGATAACTAAATAAGTTAAACCATGAAACTTTACCAAAATGTTTTGTGTGCCATATTACAGCAGCTTAGCCTTAGTCCAACAATGCGTTCAAAAAGATATCAACCAAAAAATAGCAGGAACCAGAACCTTTTTCCTTTGCTTTATCTTACAAAGAGTTATTAGACTAAAATGTACTGTTAATTAGTGTTTTCATCATTAATCATAAAAGCAAGTATGTTTATGATGTAAAGTAATTTTCCAATCCACTCTATCCAACTTCATCATATAAAAAGTAAGAGCAATGTGGAGTTTTATTAACCCAAAAATAGGCATAAAGTAGCGACCGAAAAACAAATGCAAACACACCTTGTACTTAAGGTTCCTCCAATCAGAGTGTTCCTTGTTGCTGATTCAGAGAAGCGATTATTCTCCTCATCTGAAGCTTGAGTAACTGAGATAGCAGTATAAGGTGTAGAATCACTGGGATTGCCATGAGAAGAACCTTGACGCAAGTGTGTCGAATCTTGCTCAATACCCCGGTTGCGGTTACGAAAGCGCCAATAAAGAATAGGAAGCGTTGCAACACAACCAGATGCATAACCAACAATCCATGCAAATAATGGAGCTTGTGGCTTTTCATTTCTTGACAACAACAGAACAACGATAGATGCTATAATCTGACTAACAGTGACAACTAACTCAACAGAAATCCATAATACAGAATTTAAAGGGCTTCTGCGGCGTCTACCATACCCATCACTTCTCCTCATAAATGATGAATTCCTAGAGTTTAATCTGTTTGAGGAAGAAGTCTGATTAGTGGGAGCTTGTGAGCTGCTTGAAGGTCTATCTTCACTTTGTGTTAAGTTCACTCCAGAAGGTTGCTCATCCCGAGATGAGCTTGATGAAGCATCATCATGTCTTGTTATGTCAATGATATGCTCTTGATCACTATGGCTTTCCACTCGTTCCATTAGCAATGGGTATTGGTCAGTTTGCTCAATGCTTTCTTCTGGAGAGGAACTGTCCATCTAAGTCTGGGGTCCCAATTAGAAGTTGTGAAAGCATAGGACACTTATAGACTTTCTAGATATCTACTGCTCCACTCCCCCCCAACTCCCCCAAAACTTAATAAGCTGTGCCAAGCAACTTAAAACGCTTGGCACCGCAAAACCTACAAATCGACCAACTTTATTCCCTCTTTACACAAAAGCTGCCATGAAACCAAGCAAAGAATCAATTTTTTATACTAATCATGTCAACAAAACCCATATCTTGAATTTTAAAGAGAGCATATGCGTGTATGCATGTAGTTATAACACAGTTTAGACATCGCATAACTGGTAACTAAAATTAAGCAGAAGCAGCTGACCACAATGCTGCATCAACAGCATAATCAGACAACAAAGCAACTATAGCATATAATGGTCTGCATTTACAACAAATACATTGACAAAACTCTTAAAATCACTTTTTGAGGTCACCACTACATAATAATAAAAAAAACTAGATCCTTAAACAACAAACACAACGAATCAGTGACATTAAGCATCAACAACACTTTCTCAAGAAAAATCTGATATTTCCACACCAAATTCATACAAAATTAAACTAAAACTACTCATACGTAGAAACCCAAGCAAAAACCAAATCGAATTTTTCAAAAGATCGTTATTATATTAAACTAAACATTACATTTCCTGTTATAATTTTGATAACCCAAAGCATTATTAGCATAATATTTTCACAATATCTTAAATTCAACTTAAAAACAATTAAAAATTCGATATTTTAAATATTTAAGCTATTTTTAAGCAAATTTAAATCAAACCATTAATTAACTACAACAAAGCTAAAAACCCATTATTAATTTGCAGAATCAAGATAAATTGATAGGAAAGTAAAGCCCTAAATTAAAAAAGAAAAAAAGAATTAGAGGAAAAAGATTAGAACATTACCTAAGATTTTGAATAATAAATATCTGATAGTATATGAATGTAAATAGAAAAAAGAAGTGCCAATATAAACTGATAAAGCTTTTCAAAGCCCAATTCTTTTTCTTATCTATTCTTTCAGTTTCTCGAGAAAATATAGCGTCAGCTTTTCCGCTCCATTGCTTACGCCAAAACAGAGAGAGAGCCAGCGTTTTTTTTTTTCTAAGAAAAAGGTTAGAAAATTAGTGAACCGTTTGATTTGAAGGAGTTCAGATCAAAAGTGATAGATTTTTTCGCCATCATGGATCTAACGGTTTGGATCTATTTAAGATGGCCAAAAACCGTAGGTATTATAGCTGGGTCGGATGCTTGCTGACATGTGCAAAGGATCTGAGTTTTAGGTCAAATGACTCATCGATCATTGGGATTAATTTGAATTGATAAAATAATTTAAAATTTTATTATAATTAAATTAGTTATAAAGTATATAAATGTTTTATTTAATTCTATAAAAAATAAAAATATTCAGTATCATTTAAAAAATTACAAAGAAAACCAAAATTTAAAAAAATTTCCTTAATTTTTAATTTTTTATAATGTATTATCAATTTCATATTTAAATTTTTTAAGAAGAATAATTTTTAGTGAAAATATGAAAGAATCAATAATTAATAAATAAAAATATAATTTTAATTCTCAACTTCTTACCTTAACGGTTAAGGAGTTCGAGATATAAAAATTTTGATCTCAAATCCAAATCTCTTGTCCTTTTCAATGATTATACTCATTTTATGTATAAAAAAATATATAATTTTAAAATAATTTTAAATTTTGTTTTTAATTGATTGAAATTCATAAAAAATCTGACGAACTTTAGATTTTTTTTTTCACAAATCCGATTGGTTAATACAGGTCATCTTTATTTTATATTTACAACTCTCACATATAATTGTTTATATCGTAAATATTTTTATATTTACACCTCTTTTAATTTAATTATCAACAAGATTCTTCATTTAATATTTAAAAAAAAGTAAAGTCAATTCCTATTTAATTCAATTACGTAAATGATTCGATTAAAAACCATTTCTGGTCAAGTGTCGGTTCACGGGGGCTTTGGTAACAATCCACCGACCAAAACCATGCGTATCCATCATATGTAAAATTTCGAGATGCTAATTGCATGAAAAATATTTTCTTTTAGTTTAATAATAGAAATATGTATTTTTTTTATGAGATCAAGGAGAAAAATGATAGATTATATTAAAAAAAATTTTAAATTATAAATTTTTTTTATGTATAAATTTCAAAATATTGCTATTGAATTACGTTAATGTTCTATGAAGAAGTTTTTATTAAAGTTTTTAATGGCATTTTTCATTAAAAAAAAAAAGGTTAATGGCACCTCATTAGTTGTTTGTCAATTTTTTCTTTTTTTTTTTTAAATAAATTAACTATGTAGCCTAACTTTCTCTCCTCTTAGTCATAGAGTATCCGTTAATTTTCAATCTCTTATGATTATAGTTAGATTTAAATTTCATTTGATTGAATTTATCATACTATCAATTAAATTTAAATATCAATTTTAATAAAATTTATTTAATATAAATATTTTATTAAATTTTTTCAATCGTAATTATAATTATTTTTTCAATTACAGTTATAATAATTTTTATTATTTTTAATTTCATTGAAATTAATTTCATCATTTATTCAAATAAAATCTATATAAATCAATGCCTCAATGGCCATTCTTCACCCTTTTTTTTCTTTCACTTTGTTTTTCTTCTCTCTTGTTTATTTTCATTTTTTTCCTTAATTATTTTGAAAAGAAAAAGAAAAAAGTGAGGATAGGGATTGATATACTTGACAATAGTAAAAAGAGGAAAGAGTGAAAGAACTAAAGAGAAAAAAAAAGTGTTTGTGAACAAAGAAATAATTAAGATAGAGAAAAAGAAAAAGAAAAATATATTACCAGTAACTCAAAGCAGAAGCCAGATCCAAGAAAGATATGAGAAATCGAATAAAATAATTAAAAAAATGAAACAAATCTTAATTTTTTTATATACCTTGTCTTTAATAACTTTAATACTGCAATTGATTGAGATATAGAAGAAAAACAATATCTTACTTGAGGTTGTTGTTGAATTTGGCACGTATACCTAACATAATTTTAATTTTTTTCTTTTTACTTTCTCTCCAGCAGTCGTTGCTGCCACCATGAGGCTTTGTCTGTTGTTACCTACCTTTCAAAAAAAAAAAATGGAAAGATTGGAAGAAAAATATATATACTCGCTATTATATTCAATCAATTATATTTAAAAATAATTGGCCAAAACTATATTTTAAGGTATGTTATTTAATTACATTAATTTTTTTTACAAAAAAAAAACTGTTGCATCGTGGATTAGGCTGATGTCCTTCTATATATATATATATCATTTAATATATATTAATTATTATCATTCACATGTAAAAATCTACTTATAAATTAAGAAAATCATATACTACTTGCTAACGGTGATTAAAATTGTACTGGATCATAAGGAATATTTGTCTAATAGCACTGCCTGTTCATGGCAAAATTAAATTTTCCCAGTTTTGCCCCGACAGCGTTGCTCTTAAATCCGTGTTGATCTGGTGATGATTGGTAAAGACGAAGAAACAGGCCCAACCTAAGGAGTAAAACCTGGTCTGGGCCATCGTTCGAAGTATCCAACTTTGATCAGCCCAAGATTCAAATATAACAAGTAACAACTGGACAAATTTTAGTGGATTGCTATGACTTGAATGAAACGTGTCGGTTGATGGGCCACTCGTATCATATCCAGACCCATGGTTTGTCGTATTTTATCCACAAGCTAGAATGGCTTCTCTCAAACATTAGGGAGACAAAATATAAGGATTCAAGAGGACTTGGTGGGTTCAAATTTGAATATTTTTGTAATGGAAAGAGGATAATTGCATTTTGAGAATTTTAATCATGTATTGCTAAAATTTATTATGGATTCATTAGAATTTAATCTCTAAATAAAGTTAAACTTCGTGGATTAAAAATAATAATGATAAAAAAAAAAAAAGACCAACAAAAGCTATTGAAGAAAATAATGTCATTTGAAGAAAATTTCAAACAATGAAATGAAAAGGGTTATTATTTTAAACATTATTCATGAAGTTTGTAAATTTTACAAGCAAAATAAAAATACTATTAGTTTTTTTTTATCATATTGATTTATTCATTTTTTATTTAAATTTATTAATTATTTTAAATATATAAAAAAATATACGACAATCTCTATTAGTTGGAAAAAAATTTTCTAATATAGATATAATTATTGTAATTTATTTTTTTAACTACTTTTTAAATGTTTTAAACTTTCCTTCAACTCATAGTAATCTATTTACCTTTTATCTATAGGATAATTCACTTTACAAGAGGTATGCAACTATGCGTAGCCCTTCAAAGAAAATTCCGAGGCTTCAATCCTTTTCAATGGCAAAATATCTTGTTCCTTTTTTTGTGCCAAAAAAAATCCTCTTTCACGACAAACGATTCTGGTCTTTTTATGTCGTTCCTCTCACTTTCTTCGTCACTTCTTTAGAAAGAAAAAGATAAAAAAAATCTTCAACCTTGTTGATTCCCCGTAGTTCTCCTATGCTTCCCTGTCTCTTTTTCCCGTCCTTTTTTTTTTTTTGCTCTGTGAGAAAAGGAAACCGAAAGAATAGAAAAAGATCGAAAATGAGAGAAAAGAAAGACGAAGTTTGCAGCAATTGTTAGTCCTTTCTTTGCTTAATAAAAAGCTTTGGGACCTATTCCTTTTCTCTAGTCTATCTGGTTATTATCACTTTCCACATACGAAGAAAGGGCTCAGCCACATCTACAACTTGCCTGCAGGCCCACAACAATGTTCTAGGGGAAAACATATCTAATTTCACTTGCTCTTTTTTCTTCCCTTCTCGTTCTACTATAATTTCGCTAAGTTTTTTTTTTTCAGATCCAATAATTATTTTAAATCTCGATTAATTTAAAGTTAAATTAAATTAGACTTCATAAGTTAATTTTTGTTTCCACTTTTTGAGCTATACTCTCAATCCAATATTGTTTCCACTTTTTGAGCTATACTCTCAATCCAATAAAAAAAATTAAAGGAATTCATTTTTTTTATTAAAATAAAAAATTTTCCACTGACAACCGTAATAAAATATTGAACTTTTTATTTTAATTATCAAGATTTAATCCTGGGATAATCTTAAATATATGTAAACAAATTAATTTCTTAATTATTTACAATTAATCAAATGTGAATATCTCACTCATGACTCAACATTCATGAAAACAAATTTTCCCAAGCTTCTCTCATATTTAATTTTTTTTAAAACATTGTATTCACTTACAATTGCATATTGTAGATCTTCCCCCGCAATTCTAATTTAATTAAAAAAATTGTGTTTACATCAATTCACATTCCTATGATAAGTCTTCCCCCACAATTCTAATTTAACAATAAGATTCTGTTCACATCTTACGTTATCCTATGTGTCAAGTTACTTGTCACACAATTTGTATCCTGATCAATGGTCATAAATCAACCACGCAGCTAGCAACGGGATCGAGGATCGACCACTTGAATCAACGGAAAAGATTTGATGATCCCAACCTACCAGTGATATAGTGTTATGCCCCTTAAGGCATATCTTTATGATGTGGGTTACATTGTCTAACCATGATTAGTCTTATGACGGAGTGATCCAGTGCTTTGCCGGTGACATTGCTATCACATGTGCCATATTATAGGACCCTGCCATGAATCTTATTGTCCTGTCGAACCCAAAGGAAACATATGCTCGGTTGCCAAGACAAAATTTGATGAAGTTGCAAGGGAATCATGTCTGGAATCATGTCTAAGTGTGTAATCATCGGGATGATTGCAACTTGCAAGATAGATAAATAAATTAGATATCAACGGCTTTGTTTGTTTGGTGTAATTAATATTGCTTTGAAGATTCATCAATATCTTTTTAATAGCTTACTAAAAATTATAGCATTTTCAATTATTCACTTTGATTCACTAAATTTGTAGTTTGAACTTTGATCTAATTAATTATCCAAATCTAATTTCTTATGGGACATGGA